ATAACAATAAAACAGTCACAATTACATGCGCATGCGCATTATTAATATTGATCGGATACCAACATGGCGGATCCAAGATGGCCGCCCCACGAAGGACGACGGAAGTGGCTTAACTGGCGTTGTTGGTTATTGAAAATTTTTCATAAATTTATAACTAACCTTCATACTTAGCATTTGCAATTTAAAGTACTCATCGTATTTATTATCTTGGTAATTCTATATTTAACTTTAGTACTAAAAATAGGTACAAGTGATATTCTTAAAATGAATTGATATTTTTAAACCTTACTAATCATTTGACTCTGAGTTACGTAAAATCTTGCAACCGATCTCCATTAACACGACTTGGGCTTAATTTTACTTTAATTGTACTGTCGTATATAATTACCATTGATTAAAAGGAACTAAGATATTCATCTCTTACTGTGGGTGTTAGTACGTTTACTAAGGAAACTATTACTAGATAACATTATACTACAGTAAATAGTTAACAAACAAACGCACAATTAAGGCGAAATTATCCGTCCGAATCTAGATACTTTGCCTTTAGTTAAGTAAGTTTTAATTAGAACAAAAGACTGAAAAAAACTGACTGAGCCTTATATTTGTCAGTGCTCTTAACAAATAAAGCCTTTATCATACAAAACCCGAAAGATATAAAAGCTATATTAGAACTCTACAAGTCTTCGTTTATGGTGTCCTGGTAGATCATTCAATTGTGTTCACTTTCGTGGCAATGTATTTTCAAAGGATAGACAGATCAACAAATTGTTTAACTTTATCTATAGTTCTCTAATGAAAGTCGTCTTGCTTAACGCGTCATTTACGTAAGTTTTGTCGTAACTTTTCGTGACAAATTATCGCAATGAATAAAAGATTCGTATCACAAAGTCTTTGAGCTTTCAACTGTAATGTGCAAGCTATAACAAAGGAGTAAATCAAAATCGAAGCAATTGCTAAATCCTATTATATCCGTTTTATAAGTTTGTAAAGGTGTTGCCTAATTAGAGTGGATAACATTACTGTGGATGGACTCCAGTGATACTTCTATTGAAACATATTGTCATTTCTCTCATTCACTATGAGAAAAACGTAGATAATCCATAACTAGATTTTTTTAAACATCTTACTAATATTAGAAATGCGAATATTTAGATGGATGGATGGATGTTGAACGGCTGAACGGATTTGGATGAAATTAGGCATATGTATAGAACTTAGTCTGGAAGAACACATAGGCTACTAATTATGTTTTTTTAACCCATGCAGCTGGAGTCGTGGGCGCATCTAGTTTATAATATATTTTTTGTTTAGAAATTACAACGAAAGAGATCGTAGTATATTTCATTTTTATTTTGAATATAAAAGAATATTTATACATTTAATTAAACATTATAAGATTGTAAATATTGTAATTAATTATTATATTAATAAATAAAGTAAAAAAGTTCTATTAAATTCGCTCTGTTGTCGCTGTTACACTGTAGTGTGGGTGTAGCTTTAACGAGTTAATTACATCGAGTCTGACCTTTGCCTCTTGTACGGCAAAAAGTATTTCTAATACTTCATTAACAGTTTAATCATGAAACAATACGTTCTCTATTACAATTTTGTTGTATCAAACAACAATAGCATGTTTTTATTGAACCACATTCTTTATCAACCAAGGCTAGTATTAGTTTGTACCGAAAGTGTCTTTATGTTTGATTGTTTAGGATCTAAATAAATGTTTGTAAATAGATGAGGTCGTGTGTATGTATTCAAAATTTTCCGAAACATCTTGATTGAATTTGACAGGACTTTGTTTCGAATATAGGTTATGTAAGTAGCATTTTTTTCTTCTTTATTCAACGTTGATGAAGTTGCCAGTATTAGCTTGTTTATAATAAAAATAATTGGTTAGTTTGTTGTATGGAAAAAAACTCATTTAAATTCTATTTCCAATCTTATTTTTTAAATAATTTTGATTAAAATATACAGACCTTAATTTTTTTTGTATAATTTCGTGTCGAAATTGTCCGCGCGAGATATGTCACGCTTTACCAAACATGTTACTGGACCTTCAAAATACTTGTACACAAAAAAAAACAAAGTATTGTTTCTAAGAAAACACGACCACGTCACCGTCATATTTGACATTTAGTTGTAGATATCGACAAACGAATGCTATGACATCTATCGAATATTTTATCGATATGTCGATCTGACGCATACGAGGCTGCACTATTATAATAATTTTACTTGTTTCTTTTACATTAATTAGATACATGATTAATTTTAATAAACAAAAGATTTTATTTTCAAGAAATTTATATTTTTTTGAACCAAGTTAGTAATTGAACTAAAGATCTATGTAAGTTGATATTTAAATATCAATAAAGTAACAATCTTTTCTCCATAAACACATATTTTTATGGTAATTAATTTGGTACAGCCTTAATCAAAAACGGTAGTTACAGCATTCTAATGCTGATGTTTCGTAAGTACAGTCACGAACAGCTATCGGCCACTTACACGAAGTGTTACAATAAACTTTGTACAACCTACACATAACGATATTAGAGCTTCGACAAATTAGAGATCCACATTTTAGAAAACCATTTGAAAAAAGCCTACGTTCAAAAAATTTAAGGAAATTTATTATACTTCTGTGAATAAAAGTTATGTTACTAAATGATTGTTATATATCATTCGTCGCATTTTCATAATTAACTATAAAATTATGGGAGATACTATGAATCAATGTTTTAACTCGACAGAGCCGTCCATAGCTTAAAAGGCTCTATCACAATAACAAATATTTTGATAAACGAATTATGAATAGATATACTTAATATGTAAGTGAGAAAAACATTACTTTTCAATGTCAGTTGGATAAATCTTACTAATATTATAAATGCGAATATAATAATATTTCATATTAATTTTACAAACATACGGAACCCTTTTTCTATTATTAGAATCTTGCTTGACTCTATTTAAAAAATTGTTCAACTCGCTTCAAATAATTCAAGCGTAATGTCAAAATATAAGTCATAACCGGATACGGACGATATTATAATTAACTTAGCTTTACTAGCATTTAATAACATAGTATAAAAGTCACACGAATAAAAAATATTAGAGTAACAAATATAAAAATGAAATTAGTAAATCGAAACTCTTGTATCCATAGATCTAATTTTAGTCCACTTTCCCTTATGAAGAAAAGATTTGAGCATATGACACAGGAGATGACGTTTAGCAAGGGGAAATATTCTCATTCTGTGTGTCCACTCCTCCGTTGATTAAAGGTAGTTAACACATCTGCAATTGCGTATATAGGCAACGTTTGCTTCGCCATTTCGGCGAATACAGGCGGCTTGCTCGTTTGCCACCTTATAATATAAACAATGGTCTTATCTCTCTTTTTGTTTTATGAAAAAGCAGAGATGGTTGTCTTTTTCTACTCGTATATAAAATCTATGTTGCTCGTAATATTAAAATTGGATTATCTCAATTGATTAAATAATACAGTTATAAGTTAATGTTAATTGCGGATGTTTAACTGGTTTTCTAAATTGTTCTTTTGTATTATTAATATTGAATCTTATAAATAATTTTAATGGTTGCTCAAACTGTAAGGATTAAAATAAGAAATATAAAACATTATAAAGGTCTAAATATCATAGAATACTAAAGAATATATTTACAATTGTAATGAAAAAAAAATCGATATTTTTTTTTAATAATATCTATAGACGGTGTTTCTATACATTAAAAAAATGATAAGTGTAATTAATGTAGACAAAAGTTTTGTGTAGCCATCCACGCGGAGTTAAAAAAAACTTAATTTGATGACTATGTTCTTCCAGACTATGTTCTACATATTTTTTTGTTTTTGAGGGGAATGCTTTAGGCATACTCCGTGCCTCGGGGAAGGCACGGTAGTTATGTGGGATTTTCTCCCCGAATCGGAGCATACCCACTAAACCCCTCTGTTCCCTCATAGCCATATTGTGGGACGCCACGAGATCGTGTTAACTTACCACCGCGACGCCCCACTGACCAGCTCGAGAATAGGGCTCCTCAATGCGCCTCCAATGGGGCAATGTTCTACATCTGTGCCAATTATCAGTGATATCTATGCAGCCGTTCTGGTGATACCTTGTAAGCTTCTAACAAACATCATCCATCGAAACATTTGCATTTATAATATTAGTAAAATAAAATGTCGATCAGATAAATCTTTGCTATTAATTTTATTGACTAGTTCTTATAATATTATTATTTATATTACAAAACCAAAAAATATCGATTCCATGACATTTTCAATGTAAAATACCGGGTGAGGAGAGCCGAAGGCCAAATCATTGTATTAGATTTTAACAAGTAATTGTACACCAAAAACACGTTACCAATTTCGACATGAATACACGTTATTTTTTTTATCAACCACGACTCGCTCTAAGCGTTCTCATATTCTCGAAAATAGATCTTATAATACGTTGTTCATTATAATTAATTTCATACAGAGTTGATCGATGCGTGTTACACGTTGAAGTGGGTTTTTTTTCACCGAACCGTATTTTTAAATCTTACTAATATTATAAATGCGAATGTTTAGATGGATGTTTATTAAAAGGTACATCCAAAACTCCTCGCTGAAATTTGCCTTAGATGTAGAGCATAATCTTTAAAAATGTTGTGTTAAGTCGCAGGCGACAGCTAGTTGAGTTATATTGCGTCAGTTCATCTAGAAAACCGAAGTATTTTTTGTCGAACGTTTTACGCTAAATTTGCATGTTTTTTAATCTATTTTATAGCACCAAATACCATGAGCGTGTTGTTTTGGTCAATTTCGTTTTAAAAGTAATCTCGACATAATAATACATTATTACATATCGCGTTATAAAAATTGGACTAGATATGTTATTTACGTGAATAAATTAAAGTTTTGTAACGTTTAGATTAAAAGCTTTGATTATAAATGATTTAAGATTATTTTTTTTTCGTTTCAGATGGTGTATATGGCTGATGCAGAAGACTGATAACTATTATATCGAAGCCATTTAAAATGTACTCATGAAGAGAATCCTAAGGTAACATTCGACGTTATTAAATATAGCAACGTGCGACGATCGATACGAATTCATTATTTTCAAACAACAGAGAGAAAATTTAAAAACGAATTCAAAAACATTCCACAGTATTCAGCTAATCTCATTGTCAACAAAAGACTATTGTTAAATCCCGATACATTGTTTCAATTTAAATTGAACGAAAATGAATCACTGTTATGATTGGACGCTAAAATGTGTTGAATTAAGTTTGATTGTTTGTATAAAAACTAAAGTTGGACGTATTGTTTTCGCAGGACGGACTCGTTTCAGTTTGTGGTCCTCGAAAGAGTCCAAATACTGCAATGACTACTGCGATGGCAGCCCACCAGGAATCTATACACGAGAGACTCCAGCCAGCGTCGGAGGAACCCCTGTACTTGCATCATGGAGCTGCATCCTGGGCAACAGAGGCATCGGAAAACCACGAAGACCACAGTACGGACATGTCTCCATACTATAACATGCCTAAGAGAAACAAAAGGAAGAACTTCAAGCCAAGATGTGCTCCTAACGCCACGACGTTCTCTGATGATTCTAACGGAGGACACTGCAACGTACAGAGTCCTCTCAATGGAAATGATAGAACTTCACCGGATCAACTGGTAGAAGATGAAACTGACGATGGAGCTTTTGCAAAAATTGGAGTTAAAAACTTCAGTCTTCTAAAAGGAGGAGCAGTCGATCTCAGTAGAAGATTAAGTACTGATTCAAATGAAAACATAGATACAAATTATCAAAATACTTTAGTCGATGATAAGAAAGTTGATTCTTTCCAACGTTCTTATATACATAGTTTACAAATAAATCAAGAAGCTGAAAGAGACAGGACGGTGTTGAATTTTAGCAATTTACAGAACAAAACCTTTTGTGCCAAAAATCCTTTTGCTATATCGCAGTTAATTAAAACTAACTCACCACCGAGAAGAAGGGAATCTGATTCCGACGAGGACAACAAAGATCATGATATTAACGCCAATGAGAGATTAGGAGAAGGTCAGGAAGCTATGGAAGTGGCGGAACCTCAACAAAACGGTGATGTAAATAATACAACAAATAGGATCTTAAGAGACTACGCTATAAATACAATGAAGGAATTTTTAGGAATATATGGGTTGTCCTCTAACGAAGTAGCCGATGCTATAAATGGACAAATACGTAACTTGGAAGCACTTCAAGGTACTACAATAATAACGCAGCAAAAAACGATTAACATGTATAAAAGTTGGGTCTATATTTCGCTATATTTCTTTATTTTAGGTAAACCTATTACTCAGTTGCCGATGAGTTTGAAACGTCGTCATGATTCAGGCGATGGTATTGATAGGAGTTTGAGAAGGTCGTCATCTGCGACTGAAGACGAAGGCTCCACAAATATAACGCCACCAAAAACACCAGATAATGATATAGAAGCTCAAAGGTATTTATATACAGCCGTCTTTAAGTAAAAACAATAAACTATAGTGCTTGTAGTGCTCATAACAAAAACTGTTTTAAATCAACTTTATTGTGTAAAATGAATTGTAATTTCTTATTCATATATTCAACTATGTATCAATAAAACATTTTTAATTGACACTAGACGTAATGCAGCTTTCCGTGATGTTAACTTTAATTATAAGTTCTTTAGTGTAGATATTACTAAGTAACCTTTCTAATACAGGGTGCGATATTTATGTTTGTCTTAAATTCCTACGAGTACGTCTTCTTATTTATCATAAAGTAAATATTTTTTGTTTTTTTTTCTTCAGGCAAAGAGCATTACAGATAATCAACCAGCAATCAATGAGATTGTTTGGCAGATCTCAAAGTCAGGAGGAAGATTGCAGTGGCTCGGATGATGGAGACCAGACTCTTGATCTGAGTGTTTCGAGAGAGGATGGCCAGGTAAATAACGATGTTATGAAGTCTTATTATAAAGAATTATATTATATTCCAAACTATGTTTTACATATGTGCCAATTTCATCAAGATCGTTTGAACCGTTCCGAAGATACCTTCAAACAAATATCCATCTAAACTTTCGCATTTATAACATTTTGCTTATAACATAAGATAGTAAGAAGTTAGAGTTATAAAAAAGTGCCAATATTTGACAACATTTTGTTAATAAAGATGAAAATTTAGTACCTTTTTCGGAAATTTTCTTGGTTAATAAGTTTTCATGGTTCAAAGATTGGTTTGGAGCTAGATAAGGGTTACACGCTTTATTTTATTTACAGAAAACATTTGATTTTTTTTAATGTGTTAATCAATACAGGAACAATCAACAACATCTAGTACTGGCAACAGCGTCTCTGAATTCGAACAACAAAATCTTCTCATGAGAAAGAATTTGGAAGATTTAGCCAATTTACAAATGCAGGTACGGTTTTGATATTCAGAACTGTTTTCTTTAAAATAATCTTGTTTTATAATAGTAATGTTGAATTACTTTAAAGCTTTTTAAATAATTGTAAATTACATTAATAGGAAAATTAATTTAAATTCTAATATTTAATATTATTTCTAGGGATTCTTCCAAAAGCAATCAATGATGGACGCAGACGATTCACAAGAAAGAAAATTACAAGCTAGTGGTGAGTACATTCTTAATAAATCAACTTTATATATAAAGTTTTAATACTGTTTAAGTATTGTTAAGAAAACAGCTAAATTTCTTCCAAAAAAATGGACATATTAAAAACAGTACGGTTACTTTTACCCATGACTTTTTCCTGTCAAAAAATAGTACCTAAATATATAGTTATCTCAATTTTTGTGATACGAAACGAAAGAGATGTATATATATTTATGTGTACGTCTCTTTGTACTGTAACAGTGACATCTTAGTTAGCTAAATCTAACAAAGTGAAGTTTTAGCAAACATGCAAATCTGTATATCTGGAACATTTCAGTGTGTCTGCTAAATACGACATTTCTCAGTGTCGGCCTAATTAGGTGCACTTAGTATGTAGCAGATGGCCGCGCCTTGAAACTTGTGCACGTAACAGAGTCTTAGGATTCAATAGTGTCAGTGTTAATTTGTTCGTCCTTTGTCACATCTTTATTGTAAAACTAACTGTCGCCCGCGACTCCGTCCGCACGTTATTAAAATAGTGTGCTATGAGTTCTTCCAATGCTCTATATGTATACAAAATTTCATCGAGATCCGTTTAACCGTTATAGAGATACCTTCAAACAAACATCCATCCAAGCATTCGCATTTGTATCCCAGATTCCTTAGTAGATCATATCGAAATTTCACTACAATGTCTTTTCCCATAGAACTTATATGAAATTGCGTCTAATTTTTAGGTTATACTGTGGAAACACATTTTTTGTGTTTTCAAAGATTGAATCTTTAATATATTTGTAGTTAAGGTAATAATTAACCCATAATCGTAGTTTAAAAAAAATAAAAAATATCCAAAAAGAAGACACACAATTCTCATATTTACACAGTAAATAATAATGAACTGTTAGAATTAATTTGAAGAACAATATCAAACAATCATTTGAATAACGAACGCATCGTTCAAAGAGTAAAAAATATTTCACCAAAAACACGTACAATTTTTACACGTATCCGTGAAAAGTGACATGTCACTAATTTATTCTGTGATCGGCTATTTAGGATGTTTCTTAATTATCGATTCCATACAAATATTTAATTTATTGTACGTTGAACTGTCACTGAGACAGTTTGAAAGTGTCGTGACATATTTGACATAAGCCATTGAATTCTAATGTCCCTATAAAATACACTTTTGTTTGTTCTTAATTAATGATCTGGAAAAGATGTCTGCTTAGTTCTAGCAATAAAACGTTTGAATTTAATGTCGATAAATTCCAATATATTATAAGGTTTTACTATAATAATATTGCTCCGTCTTTAAATTATTTTTAAGGTTATATGTAGCGTTTGAGGGAATTAAAATCATTCATTATATCTGTTTATTCATTGTATCTGTATAGGAGTCGGTGGCTCAGGGGTCAAGCACTTGACTTGCAAACTGCAGGTCCTGGGTTCGAATCCCGCCATGTACCAATGTGTTTTTCGATTTCTGATTTACATATGTACATTTATCCGACATTCTTACGGTTAAGGAAAACATCGTGATGCAACCTGCACATATCTGAGAAGAAATTCAAAGATATGTGTGAAGTCAACCAACCCGTACTTGGTCAGCGTGGTTGACTATGGCCTAGTCACCCGTAACTTAGGGTAGGTTCCGTGCCCCTCGGTGGGGACGTATAGTGAGCTGATGATGATTATATCTGTTGAAATAAAATTCAAAGTCAAGTGGAAGAAAATGAAAATAAACTTGACAATAGCATTAATAAATTACGTCATAATTTATAACAGAGTCGGGCGCGATCATCAAATTCCGTGTAGATCGTGTTAACGCGCGTAACTTCCTGAGCGGGCCCCCGGCTGTAATTGTAAAAACCTCGGCAGCTCTAATCCACTTCAATAGAGGCAAATTCACTCAATTGAGCACCGACTAGCGCTGGGAGAGGGCCTTGTTGCAACGCTTTATAATACCATTCAAACTTTATGTCAGCTCGCAATTACGCAAGAGAGAGAGACTACGTACAACACAATTTTATCTATAATACTAATATTAACAATGCGAATGGTTAGATGGATGTATAGATGTTTGTTTAAAGGTATCTCCAGAACGGCTTAACAAATCACGATAAAATTTGGTATAGATTTAGAATAAAGTCTGGAAGAACACAAAGGCTACTAATTATGTTTTTTTTAAATTCCGCACTGATGGATTCGCGGGCGACTAACTCCATTATAACTATGAGCCATCATAAAGTTTGCGTCTTATAATACTTCAATGATACGCGTGTAGGTAGCGAGACGTGCTTAATTTAATCTAATATTCACATGATTGTATTAACGAATTTATTTGTTTTGAAGTTCTTACACAAAACTTAAAACGCTTAATACAATATAGCCTGTGCTTCGGGCGTTAATTTGAATGTTTGAATAATACGATGGTGAAAATATACTTTGATTTTGCCAATGTATTCTTCAGACTCCTCGCTAAATTGCTATCCTTAGCTGTTAATTGTTACATATCGTATTTCACACCGTTAAATTTGAGTTGAATTTATTTAAATTGATCGTTATTTTAACTAATACAATGAGAAGTTTTAGTATTTCCGTCAATCACATCAAGTTCCGCGGCAGAGTACTAAATTGCTTCGTAGAATTCCGCGCCAGGGACTGGGGACGGACGGGGCACGGACTGGGGATCAGCGGGGATAAATAGGCAAATAGCGTTTCCCATTTACTGTATAATAGAGCAGCTTCAGTGTGTCCGTCCGGTGCGCGGCGATTTGTTCTTGATTGTCGTGCGAGCTAGTGTTGCGACACGGCGTATCACCCGCGCTTTACTATCGCAACAAATAAATATAACACAAATAGTCAGGGTACGATAACGTTTTAGAAATCTATATTAAAGTTTTAGTAACTATATAAAATCTGAGTTTAACAGTTAATTTAAGTTTAATATTACTTCTTACTAATATTATAAATTCAAATATTTCGATGGATGTTTGTTTGAAGTTATCCCCGGAATGGCTGCATGGATCTCGCTGAAATTTGACATACATATAGAACATAGTCTGGATGAACAGATAGGCTACTAATTAAGTTTATAATCCCCCGCGGATGGAGTCGCGAGCGATAGCTAGTATGTAGATAAAATTGAATAAAACGTTATCTATAATTTCTTTGATTGTCTACATAAGTAATAACTAAGCGAAAGTTTTTTTTAATATACTTTGTAAATTCATAATAAAATTTAACAATGATATTAGCATTTAGGCATGCATTGAGTCGCCTACGTTTTCATTCATGTGTTACTTTCGTAGAAATTAATGCGCAGTCACATAGTATCATGAAATGTTTGAAGACAATGCGAATTTAAACTACATATATTATAATATTAATCGTTTGGTATTGTTTGTTGGTTTGAATTCTATTAAAATAAATCTCTATGGTAGATTACATTTGTCAAAATTTTATTTGATGGAAAGATATATATTAAAAAATGAATCTCAAAATGTGTTGGTAAGCGCATAACTCAACAACGCCTGGACCAATTTGGCCAATTCTTTTTTTAAATGTTAGTTGAAGTTCAAAGATGGTTTTCACGGCGAGAAAAATTCGAATAATTGCCAGGGACTATTTTTTTTTTTCATTTCACGCGGACTGAGTCGAGGGCGACTGCTAGTTTTAAATAAATCTTACTTCTTACTATCTTATGATTTTTGGATAGATGGATGGATGTTTGTTTGAAGGGATCTTCACAACAGCTACGTAGATCTCGCTGAAATTTAGCATGCATATAGAACATAGTGCGGAAGAACTACTATATATTTTTTTAATTCTGCGCGGAAGGAGTCGCGGACGACAGCTAGTTTAATATAATTAAGTCGAGAAAATTTTGATTCGTATCGTTTATGTTTTAAAAACATTCATAATATTGTTGTTAAAAATAAAAATTAAATTACAACAGTCACAAGAAAGTAAGAAAATGATGTATCGATTATTCGACTCGATCATCGATTATCTAACATTCAACTTGTTAATATTCATAAGGTTATCTTCCGTCTTTGTTTAACATTAGACAAAAATATATTTGTCTCTGTCCAACCGGCTGCAGACCGTGAACTCCTAAGGCGATAGAGTTATAATTTATTTAGTAAAAAAATTGTTAATTACAGTCATTAAAACACGGCTTCTAACATATATCTGATTATTACATGTTTGTGTAAAATATATTTATCATTATAGTTGCCTTTATTTTTAGGGTTCTTTGAATTAGACGATAAAATAATTTAAATTAACTTAAACTAAATATACTGACAAAATAAGGTAATCTAATTTTCTTTAGTCTTGGCTTTAAAACAAAAATGTAATTCACGCCCATAACCTAAAGGGGTAGACAGATACCACAGACATATGACGCGGTGCTAACACACCTCTCTTGCTTCTTCATATTTCATGTGCTTTTAGTAGAACCAAATTAATTTATGCCTTACATTTTATGTAATAACTTTGAATTCTTAGGAAATTGCAGCTTTTCATGAATAGATGATAAGTATCCTTGCATCGGAGCTTAGCATGTGTGGCGTATCCTCCACTCTTTTGTTAATTAACCCGGCCCCGCTCGGCATATCCTTGCGACAAGAACAGAGATGAATAGAGTCGAATGATACTTTTTTTATTCTACAGATATTTTTCGATATCAAAGTTAAATTTATTAATTGATAAAGTTAGTTGTTATTCCTTTAATTGTAATTAATCCTGAAACACTAGGATAAAATGTACTTATTTTGTAAAGTAATTAAAAATAAAAGTTAAGTTTGTTAACTTAAAACGTCCTAAAACCACTTATTTTATGCCCCTTATTGGAACTTAATCTTTTTATAGCATATTAATAGAGATCGTCTTCAAAATAATTTAAATTAAGAGACTAAAGTTAAATATGGTACGATTATAAGATTGTTTAAAGGTTCAATTTGAAATTTAAAAAAGGAATAAAGTTTAAGATAAAACCTCCTTTGCTCTACA